CGAGTCCCACATCAGGCTCCCTGCTCGGCGGGAAGCCTGCTTCTCCCTCTCCCACTCCCCCTGCTTGTGTTCCTGCTCTCGCTGTCTCTTTCTCTGTCAAATAAATAAATAAATAAATATTTAAACGTTAGATAAATTTGTTGATATCTGCAAAATAGTTGGCTGAGATTTGGATTGGGATTGCATTAAATCTGTGAACCAGCTTGGGAAGAATGGACATCTTGCCAATATTGAGTCTTCCGATGAAGACTCATGAACATGTAATACCTCTTCTTTGATTCCTTCTGTCAGAATTTTCTGCATATATATTCTGTACATATTTTGTTAGATTTATACTTAGCCATGTAATTTTTTTGGTTTTACAAATGGTATTGGGTTGTTAATTTCAAATTCCAGTTATAGCTGGTATATAGTAAAGCAAATGACTTTAGAATGTTAACGCAGTGTCCTGTGACCTTGCTATAATTGCTTATTATTTCCATTTTTTGTTGTTGGTTCTTTGGATTTTCTACATAATAAATCATGTCATTTGTGAATAAGGACAGTTTTTGTTTTTCCTTCCCAATCTTTATACCTTTTATTTCCTTTTCTTATTTTATTACACTAGCTAGGATTTCCATTATGATGTTGAATAGGAGTGATGAGAGAGGGTATCATAGCCTTGTTCCTGATTTTATTGGGGAAAGCATCCATTTTCTTACCATTAAGTATGATGTCAGCTGTAGATTTGTTGTATATGTTCTTTATTAAGTTGATGAAGTTCCTTTCCCTTCCTCGTTTGTTGAGTTTTTAGTCATGAAAGGATGTTGGATTTTGTCAGAGGTGTTTTCTGTGTCAGTTTATATATCATAGGATTTTTCCTTTAGCCTGTTTTCATGATGGATTACATTAATTGCTTTTTTTAAAAAATTATTTTTCTAATGTTGAACCAGCCTTCTGTACCTGGAATAAATCTCACTTTGTCACATACAGATATAATTCTTTTTATACATTGTTGGATTTGATTTACTGATACTTTGGTGAGCATTTTTGCATCTGTGTTAGGAGATATACTGATCTGTAGATTTCCTATCTTGTAATGTTTTTTTTTTCCTGGTTTTAATATTGGTAGACCAACTTATTTCATTTTTCTTCATTCTCATACTTGTATCCATACATATTATCTGTGATTTTAGCTGTATGAAAATGATATACATGTGCTGTTGTATTTGTTCACTTAAATTGTTAATCTCTAACATCCCTAGAGCAAAGCATTTTTTATGATGTGTCATAATTTTTGTTTTATGATTTTCATTTAGCAACAGTTTATATTTAAAATCATATTGAATTTTAGGGGCATCTGGGTGGCTCATTTGGGTTGAGCGTCCTACTCATGGTTTTGGCTCAGGTCACGATGTCTCAGGGTTGTGAGATTGAGCCCCCTGTCAGGCTCCATGGTCAGCAGGGAGTCTGCTTGAGATTCTCTCCCTCTCCCTCAGCTCTCCTCCCCTGCTCCCCCCGTGTGCTCTTTCTTTCTCTCTAAAAATAAATAAATAAATCTTTAAAAAAAATAAAGTCATACTGAATTTTAAAATGAAAAATGTCACTCAACTATTTACAGATAAATGGTAATATTCTGAAATCTCTTCATTTCTTTTGTGGATTATAGTTACATTAAGATAATGGTAAGGAAGTAACTTTATTTTCTTTTGGCCAGAAAGAGGAAGGGTTATAGCCCTTTTGTAATTACACAAGAACTCTTACCTAGAAAAAATAATGGGATCATATGCCTTTTCAGTGCAGGGTCGTTACAGATCAGGCCTGGCTGGCAGTATGGGGGCAGTTCTCTTCTCATGCACCGCCTCTCCTTTTCTGTTCTCCATCTTCTCTCATACACCGTTTCTTTCCCAAATTTTATGTGGAACAGAAAATATAGTTTAATATTTACTTATCCTGTGAAATTTATATTTCCTACTGTTAAATTTTTAAACAGGTTAAAAAAATCTTAAGTTTATTTCTTTTTCTCATTCTTTTGTTCGGTCAGTGTTTATACAAGTAAAAAGTTTTACAGGCTGTGACTGCAGAGGATGATGGCAACATGGGAAATTTTAGGAGTTACAACGGAAAATAAAAGTATAATGGGATAATTATTAAGATTTTTAATATAAAGATAAAGAAAACAAACTGTTCATATGTATGTCTGCTTTTTCACAGGCTGAGAATCCCCCTCATGGACCAGATTGTGGTTATGGCTCCTTTCACCAGCAGTATTGGCTTGATGGAAGAATCATTGCTGTGGGGGTGATTGACATCCTTCCATATTGTGTCTCGTCTGTATATTTGTACTACGATCCTGATTATTCATTCCTGTCTTTGGGTGTCTACTCTGCATTACGGTAAGATTACTTTTGACAGCTCTCATGGGTTATATGGAACTTCAGATAATTCCTCATTTGATTAGAGTTCATCATATGACAGCAGAAATCCTACTTGATAGTTCATAATTTTGTTGCTATAGTAGTCTGTTATATATTTGTATTTAGAATACCACTTTTAGAACTGAGGACAATGTCTGATGGTAATTCCGTAGCTTTTTAAGTTATCCATCTCGTCTAGTATATGACAAGTCATTGTGTTTGTGGGGTGCTTTTTTTGTTTATGTCTTTATTTAAGCTGCTCTATCAGGAACAACTTAATGTTCCTTAAATATTATAGTATTTACATATTTTTGTCATTGTTGTGTATGTTTTTTCATAATTAAAGGTTAAATGAATCTAATGTAAATAAAATAATGTGAGAAAGTATATGGAACAGGACTGGGAAGTCCCTAACTGTCCACTTAACTCTGTGGCTCTCATCAAAAGATTATTTCCCTTTTATGTCCATGGCTGCAAATACACGCAGCACAGCACAGATACTTTGCATTGTCCTGATGGGAGAAAGATTAGGGCCTTACTCCATGAAAATACTTGTTCTATTTTTATGCCTTCTAGTCTGCATATATATGGGGTCGAGAAGGGAAGGAGAATTGAAAACTATTCTTCTGTTGCTTGTCTGGGACCTTGGGACTCTCTCTTTCTCATGGTGTCCTTGTTTTCTCTTTTCCCAATCTCTGTGTCCAGTGGTCACATTCTCACGTCTTGGGAAGATACACTTTGAGATTATTTATTTTACTTGCTGTATATGTGTTTTTTTCTGAATTACAAAAGTGGAAGAGTTAGCATTTTTTTTTAATCTCCATTTGATTTTTGTAAAAAAATCTGGTCCATAATTGATTGTGTGTTTCAGTAGTCTGTAATGTAAAGAAAAATTCTCCATCTTGGTATTTTCAACCTAATGTCTACTAATGCCAAGTTATAGCAGATTCACAATGATACAGTGTTTACAACTGGTCTCTGTAATGATCTTTTATTTTTTCTTATGTATTTAGTTACATTTGTGTATAAACTAATTAAGAATATTCATGACACATAATGACGCCAGTGATATTGGAACTGATAATTTAAAGCATTTACATTTTGTAACTTTAGAAGTGTATATTTATTTCAGAAAACTACTTTTTCTTTGGACCAAAATCAGCCAACACTTTGAAATTATTGTCGTTTTCCTTCTTGTTTTGTTTTTGTATCTATCACTTTACAGTATGTAGCTATAGATTTGTTTAGACTTCTCAGATAAATATCAAGAATATTTATTCCCACATAGTGAATTCCAACCTATATATGACATTTCATATCTCAATAAACTAAGGAATATTGAAATCCTGCTGCATTTGAGGTAGTAAATAATCAATTCCCAGCAAAATTATTATTATTATTTTTTAAAGATTTTATTTATTTATTTGACAGAGAGAGACACAGCGAGAGAGGGAACACAAGCAAGGGGAGTGGGAGAGGGAGAAGCAGCCTCCCCACTGAGCAGGGAGCCTGACGTGGGACTCGATCCCAGGACCCTGGGACCATGACCTGAGCCGAAGGCAGACGCTAACGAATGAGCCACTCAGGCACCCCCCCAGCAAAATTATAAGAGTTCTATTTATTGCTTTGGTATATCTCTTGAAATTCTAGAGCTGGAGAGCTTTGAGGAAGAAGCAGAGGAGCCTGGGAGCATGAAAGTTATTGCCAGTTGAAAGCAGGGAGATTGCCTCTGCATTACAGTTTTGTCATTTCCTTTTAGTGTACTTGAGAATATGATTTGCTGAGTTTTCTAGAAGAGGAAAGGCAGCCAGGAAATTTGATTATTTCCAAGCAAAATTGGGGAGAACAGGCTATAAATTGCTGGTTCTATTATTGATTATAGTGTATTTCAATGAAATCTGCTTAATTTCTTTAATTTCTTAAGAAATTGTAAATGAATATAGTTTTTATATTTTAATCTATAATCAATATAGATTTTTATATAACCTAGTCTGTAGGTTTAAAAAAATGTTTGAATTGGGGATCATGAGCATGACATTTATTTATGTTTTGTTAGCAAGATGAATTTTAGAAATGAATTAATTTGTCTAACAGATGTTTATTTGAGAAGAATCTATGTGTCTTGGACACAATTCATAGAAATGAATAAGGGTTTCCAGCTTCGTCAAAGCAGACAGTAAATTAGAATACCAACATAATTTTAAATACTCCATTATGCTGTGACAAAAATAAAATCACAGTGGTAGGTATGAGGTCCTTTTTGTACAGGGCAGTCAGGAAAGACCTCTCTGGACAGGTGACATTTGAGGAGCCAAGAAAAAATAAAGGACCCAACTGTTTAAATAAAAGTCTAAGGGTAGAAATATGGGTGGTACAACGACTGAGGTGGTCAGAATGGAGAAGATAAGTCCTGCGGGCTAGGATATGGGGTAGGATGTAGACAGGAGTTAGGCAGGGAGGGCAGAGATGCAGGAGGCACTGGTGAGGAGGGGCCAATGGAGCTGCGCTTGATAGGTCATGGGAGGGAGGTTCGATTTTGTCTAAGTGTGATATCAACCCAATTTGAAGGCGAAGGGTTTGGGGAGGTTACCTGATCTGATTAATATTGTAAAAAACGACTTAGGCCACTCTGTGGGATTTACAGAGGGGCAAGAGTGGAACCTGGAAAGCCAGTCAGGAAGCTGTTGCAGTCATCCAGGGGAGCCATTATGCTGGCTTGGACCAGAATAGCTGAGGTGGAGGTAGTGAGAAGTGGTCAGATTCAGGGTATATTTTGGAGATGGGGCCAGCTGGACCTGTTGATGGATTGGACATGGGAGTGAGAGGAGAAGAACAGTTAAGGATGACTCCAGGTTTGGGCCTGAATAACTGGGGGAGCGAGGGGCAATGCAGGACCAAGGGAAGGAGTGCCGTCGTCAGAGGTGGGTGGTCCCGCGTTGGTGTATCAGTGCTTTCTTCCTCACTTTGAACCTTGAAAGTGGATTAGTTCTAGGAATAGTGGGATTTATTCTATTATAGGCTAATAGTGTTCAGTCTGCTTGGATTTAGAAGATGAATTTGTAGGATCACAACCCTTCCGTGACTTAAATTTGAACTTGCAAAATGCACAGACTATTCACTTAAAAAATTTCTCCTTGAATTCAAGCACTCATTGGAAAGAAAGAAGGAAAGAAAAAAAGAAAGCAGGCCTTCAAGAAACAAACATAAAAACGAAACAAACAACTTTTCTCCTACTTTAGAAATGTACTAAAGTTTCCTTAAAACTCTCAAATACAAGCAATCATTCATTTGGGCAAGTAGGATGAAGTTCTGTGCCCAGATTTATCCGGATGCAAATTAAAACCACTTCAAGCCTGGGCATTGCTGACAGTGTCTTTGTTCAGTTAAACCTCGCCTATGCCAACAAATAGAGAAAAGTGGTGAGATAGCATAGTTTTCTTCCACTCTTTAGTTTTAGGGAGAATAAATATTAGAGTAACATCTAGATGTAGGAAGGAGTTATACATCATATATAGTTGCAAATGTTTGCATGTAAATGGTCATAATAATAGTCATTCTTCCTGAAATGTGTTGGTTTTTGAGTTTTATAAAACTTGCTGTGCTGTTTTTCACTTGATAAACCCAGTCTTTTGAGGACTCCAGGGGATAATGAGTAATGTATTAAATAGATCTCTTTATTTTTATGCTGTTTGAATTTTAGATCAACTAGTATGCTCAATAAAGTGTAAAATGTGAACTTAGATGCATTTGCTCAAAATAATTCAGAGTTGTTTAGGTCTTTTTAGTAAAAGCTATCTTAAAGTTTTGTTGTTTTTTTTTTTAAGATTTTTATTTATTTATTTGACAGAGAGAGAGAGAGACAGCGAGAGAGGGAATACAAGTAGGGGGGAGTGAGAGAGGGAGAAGCAGGCTTCCCACGGAGCAGGGAGCCCGATGTGGGGCTCGATCCCAGGTCCCTGGGATCACGACTTGAGCCGAAGGCAGACGCTTAACAACTGAGCCACCCAGGCGCCCCTTAAAGCATTTTTAAAATTGTTTTGCTTTCGGGCGCCTGGGTGGCTCAGTTGGTTAGGCGACTGCCTTCGGCTCAGGTCATGATCCTGGAGTCCCGGGATCGAGTCCCGCATCGGGCTCCCTGCTCGGCAGGGAGTCTGCTTCTCCCTCTGACCCTCCTCCCTCTCATACTCTCTGTCTCTCATTCTCTCTGTCTCAAATAAATAAATAAAATCTTTAAAAAAAAAAATAAAATTGTTTTGCTTTCAACACTTGGAGTTTCTTAATAGCTTAAGATTATATTTTCAGATGTTATCAGATATTTGACATCAGATTACATGTACTTTGAATATTGGAACAAGATTTAACTGTACCTTCATCTTTATTCTTCTTTTGGCAGAGAAATTGGTTTTACTAGGCAACTTCATCAGAAAACATCTCAACTCAGCTATTATTATATGGGTTTCTACATTCATTCATGTCCCAAGATGAAATATAAGGTAAAGCTGATTTTCATGCGTGTCTGCTCTAGATGCAGTTCATGAACGTTAATGCTTTCATGGTTTCTAATCATATTAGTTTAACTCGCTTGTATATTTACAATGTATATAATGAATTATTTTTAAATGTGTTTTAAACTTTTCATGGAATCTGGCTTGTTCATTGCCTAAAACAGTGCTGGACACATAGGCACTTAATATATGCTTAGTACAGAATGATCTGTAGAAATTAACCAAATATATAGAAATCCCAGCTATTCCAGAACATTCACTAGGGCCTGCTTACTTGGGGTAGAACAGAACAGCCATTAGGAATCTACCTTGCCTGGGTGCATCCTAACCCTTCCCCCACCCTCCATTTTTTTCTCCTTCCCTTCCATTTTAGCTTTGTTTCCTTTGGACCCAGTCACAGTCCAGAAAAACTGGAGCTCAATGTAAGCAGTGAGGTATTTTCAATAATAAAAATAAGAAGAAGAATGCAAATGTTTGTAAGATTTTCATCATAGAAAAATTAATCTTTAATATGATTTTTGTCTCAGGGCGTATAGGACTTGGACTTAGAAGGGGTGACGAGTGAGTTAATAAATAATGAAGGAAATCACTTTGCTGCCTCAGAAATGAAGCTTTCTGTAGTGAGAACCACAGCCTTCATTGCTCTGACTTTATAATTCATCGTATTATTGTGAGATTTAACTGTATGTCAGAATTCCCCTTTAAAAAAAAGTTTTATCTTTTATGACTGTCTTTAATTAAACTCTTTGATGTTTTCTAAGGATTAGCAGCCTACTGTATGTAAAAACTCTGGTAACTGTAGAGCAATATGAAGGAGTAGTGATTTCCTTCATTAACTCACTCGTCACCCCTTCTAAGTCCAAGTTAAAGATTTTTAATTTATTTTTGACAGAGAGAGACATAGCGAGAGAGGGAAAACAAGCAGGGGGAGTGGGAGACGCTTAATGACTGAGCCACCCAGAATAAGTGTTGCTCTGAAGAGGCAAAAAGATGTAAACATGAATCTTCCTCTTAAAACTTGTAATCTTGGTGAGGATTGGGAGTATTTTACGTGAAAACAGATTAGGAGAATGGTTTGGTTAAGTGGCCTGGTATCGAGTAGGCAGATGGGGAAGCATAGGTCAGAGAGAAGGAGCAGACAAGTAAGGATTGGCAGGTGACCTTGCCCATGACATAGTCATATAAAAAAGGGTAACCAAAGGACTCTGAAGGACTTGAAAGCTATTCTGAGGTATTTAAGCAGTTGGGAGTCATTGAGGTTTCAGAGCCAAGAACATAGCATGTGGAAATCAAAAAACATATTCATATGTGTAAGTTACCATTTTTTTAAAGTTATGGGTATTTTAAAAGCATAAACCAAATTGAAAAGTGTAATCGAACCCCTTTGTACCCATTACCCAGCTTCAGCAATTTGCAGTACCTCGTATTTCATCTGTTCGTTCATCCCTATTCCTACCTCCATCATCTTTTGAAATATTTTGGAACAAATCCAGAATATCATTTCATCTGCACATTTTTTAATGTGTATTTCTAAAAGATAACAGCATTTTGAAAACAAAATCACAGTCTCAGCATCACACCTCAGAAGCATTAACAGTATTTCTAAATATCCTTCTGTACCTCTAGTCAGTGCTTGTATTTTCTGATTGTCTCAAAATATTTTTTAGTTTGTTTGACTTAGAACCCACACGAGGTCTGTACATTTGGTTGATGGGTCTTGTAAATCTTTTTAATCCATAAATTTCCCCTCCCTCTTTTTTTTTTCTCTATGCAAATGAATAATCCACAAAACATGGTGATTAACTAAATGTGGGAATGAACAAAAGTGGCTCCAGAGCGTTGAGGTTAAGTGCTGAATGTCTGGGGAAGGGATGCTTCCACTGTTAGAAACTGTAGATCCTAGAAGCAAAACTGGCTTTGAAAGAAGGGTGATAACACAATACCTTGCTGGTTTTATGCTGACGTAGCCCAGGTCTTCTGGAAAGGCTTCCTGCTGGCATTTAATTCCCGTATTTAAGTGTACGTTGTACGTAACTTGTGAATTTAATCGTTCAAATATTTCCTTTATGCCTGAATTATTAATTTAGTTGATAGGTCTAAACATATATTCTCTGTGGAAAGAAAAGCATGAATATATTTCTCTTTTCCCAAAAATACTTACTTGGTACTGTTTTTACTAGTGTTCTCTCCTTCTAGTCATTTTTGTGGTACCAGATCTAAATAAATTCAGGGTAGGAAACTCACATACTCTGGATATTGTAGTACAATAATAACACTCAAAAGAAAAGTCTAGCCATCCTATATATTCATCTGCCTTTGTGTACTTGTGCATGACCCCTTCTAAACAGAAGTATTTTTATGCCAATCTTAGGGACTTGGAGAAGTTTCACTTTTACTTCCCATCTGTAATGGCCACTCTAGTGTCACAGGATTTTTCCTTCAGTGAGTTTTTCCTTATACCTAAGCTTAATTGCTCCATATTTTAACCTGTTTCTTTTTTGTTGTTGTTGTTGTTGTTCATGGAAATGTTGACCATATTTTCATCACCCTTCCTCTATATGAAGACTTTTTTTTTTTTTTTAAAGATTTTTAATTTATTTTTGACAGAGAGAGACACAGCGAGAGAGGGAAAACAAGCAGGGGGAGTGGGAGAGAGAGAACAGGCTTCCTGCGGAGCGGGGGGCCCAATGCGGAGCTCGATCCCAGGACCCTGGGATCATGACCTGAGCCCAAGGCAGACGCTTAATGACTAAGCCACCCAGGCGCCCTGTATGAAGACTTTTTATCCACCTTTGTTGACTCCAGTCCAGACTAAATGTTGTATGTTATTCAGTCTCCTTCCTAAGTTGAGCTCTGCTTGGAAATAGAAGTCTGGCTCATATCTGGTTTTTAGTTAAGAATTAAAAAATGCTCTCCATACTGTTCAATCTGTCTGGCTTAATCATACCCAACCGAAATTTGTCAGAATTATAGCTTCAGGATATTATTTTTAAATTCCATTTGCATGAGAGATACCCCAGTGCCCATCTGATCTTTTTTTCCTTCATTCACGTAATACTTACTGAGCTCCTGCTGGAAATGCAGCAATGAACAATACAGGCAAGATCCCTAGTCTCAAGGACCTACAACAAGTTAATAAAGAAGACAAACAGATAGGAATGAGCACTGTGTGATGTGGTAAATACTTATTAGATGTGGCTCCTTTCGAGTGGGGTCAGGGAGAGCCTTTCAGAGGCATAACGTTTAGACTGAGATTTGGTTGACAGGAAGTCAGCCAATGGGAAGACGAGGGGTCATTTCAGGATGAGACTGGAGGACAGCTAGTGCTCGTCTCCTTTTGAGTTGCTGCTGTTAGCCATTCTGGCTGTATTTCAGGATGACCTGAGGAACTTTTTTAAAAATACCAGTACGTGGGCCCCTACCTTCCAAGATTTTGATTCATTGGCTGGGGGTCAAACCATGGACGTCATTTTTTTTTTTTAACCCTCAGGAGATTCTAATGTGAAGTCAAGCTTGAGAACCACTGCACCAGATTAATTTTTCACATCTGAGCGCGTAGTAACTGGAAAGATGATTATTTCTCATTTTAAGTTAGCTAATTTCTGTTTATTAAATTAAGAATCACTCTATTGAAGAAGCTCATATCTACATTTTGTTATCTGGGTCCTGAACATTGAAGGCTGACTAACCGGAGTCTTTCAGCTGGGTTTTCCCACCCGAGGGCCTTTACCCTTACTGATCTCTTGTTTTTCAGTCTCCCTCTACCCATCCTCCATGCTTGCAAACTCCTCCTCCATCATTTCTCAGCCTAGTGGTCACTTGCTCCAGTAATCTATACTGGACACTAAGACTAGATTTGACCACTCACCTACCCACCCATACCCAGCTTCCTTAGCATTCTATGTTTCTTCCCAAAATTCAAGTCTGTCTCCTGTGTATACGTTTGTGAGACTTCTGATGTTTATCTTCATCATGTATGCCAAGTACCTAAAAGTGTGCCTGCCACACAATAGATGTTTAATTTTTAATAGACATTTGTTGAATTAATGAGAAGAAATACTAGTGCTGCGGGTCAAGAAACTCCCTTTTGTTTAACAAGTATTTACTGAGTGTGACTAGGACAGCTTCTGCTTTGCAAATAGATTAGAACTTAGTAAGACACATAGGTGGTTCTAAGGGAATATGACTGGATATCATGGAGTATTGATAAATACTCTGATATCAAAGGGAGGTAGTGGTACAGGAGTGTGTAACAGTTTGGAGAAGTTGCTTAATTACAGCTGGTCTTGGTTTTGCAACTGTAAAATGGGAATGATATAGAAATGAGATATATTGTGGGGTGTTTTGTTTTTGCTTTTTTTTTTTTCTTTTTTCTTTTTTAGTAAGCTCTGTGCCCAGTGTGGGGCTTGAACTCACAACCCTGAGATCAAGAGCTGTATGTTCTACAAACAGCCAGCCAGGTGCTCTGAGATATATTGTGTTTTTATCTCAATTTGAGTATAGAATCTTCTTGCACTGACTGGTAGGATAGAACCTACCCAGGTGGGTAGCATGCACAAAAACATTACCTGTGCTTTTGTTGAGACCTGTCGAAGTTCTGTGTTTATATACTAATAAATGGCACCCAGATTTCTAAGTGGCCTGCTTGTGCTATTAGCCATACTTTTTAGTTCAGATGCTGGGGAAAAGCAGAGGCTTATGCTAGTGTATACCAATACTGCCTCACTTTATGAAAATTTGCAGAATTGTGGACACTTTTATCTTTTGTTTGGAGGAAAGTGGCACTGAACTCTGTTGGGGTTGGTGCTGCAAAAAGGTGAACCTCTCCAGAATAATTCCTGTGTTGCGCTGCAGGGTATCTGTTGGTTTTGGCCTTGTCCATTTAGGGCAGAAAAAGTCTGAGCTCAGATGTTTGTGGGCAGAATAAAGTGACTATTTTGTTCCATTTGTAGATGTTTTCATTTCATCTAAGGATATTTTATTATATT